GATGCAGAGTTGCTCTGCCCCAGGCTTCCTGGAATCAGCTGCTGATAAGTTTCAGCAGCAGCTGACTTGGGGACGCCTGGGGTTCTTAAGTTGAATCTGTATTCAAGTCAGAACTGGCATCCAGATTCAGCCGCGGTTGAAACTGATCAGATTCAGCCTCGGTTGAAACTGATCAGTTTCAGCAGGGGCTGACGCCAGTTCCGACTTACATACAGATTCAACTTAAGAACAAACCTACAGTCCCTATCTTGTACGTAACCCGGGGACTGCCTGTACTTATAATTTTAAAAAAAGGGTGGGGGTACTTTATAAAAAAAAAAATGTTGAGAAACACTGCCACCTCATTCGGGATGGTATTTTGTAGTACTCTTTTGAAAAACTTAAATATTTCTCTTTAACACACCATCAAGTAGCTTTACTGCTGCTTGTGAAACAGAAGACAAAAGTAAATTAATATACTGAGGTTAAAAGGGATACAGACTACTACTTTTTAAAATACTAAAATTTTATTTTTAAGAAAGTGGTTTGTGTTCTCATCTCATAAATGAGAATTTCATCAGATCCTTCTGTGTTTCTCTTTTCAGGTGACACTGAACACATGAATGGCAGGAGAAGACTATTAGTTGCCTCTGTAATTTCTATCCAGAATTTCAGCTTTGTGTATCCTTCTTGTCAATACTGCTTTTCTAAGCTGATATTAGATTCTAATAGGTAGGTCCAAGTTGGGGGATTGCTGACTTTTTAATTTGGCAAGTACTTTGCGTGCTATATACAAAAATAGTCCCTACCCCAAAGAGCTTACAATGTAAGTTGGGAGAACAGATGAGACAAGATAGAAGGGGAGCATAATAACAAAAAAATGCTGGTTCTCCTCAATTACATTGGGATATGTCTATGCTGCATTCCTCTTTCGAGAGAGGAATGCAAATGTGGCTGAGCGAAATTGCAAATGAAGCACAGATTTGAATTTCCCATGCTTCATTTGCATAATCACGTCGGAGCGCTATTTTGAAATACCCTATTTTGAAAAAAGTAACGCTGTCTAGACATGGTTATTTCGAAAGAAAACTCTTCTTTCGAAATTATCCGTACTTCTTATAAAATGAGGTTTAAAGGTAATTTCGAAAAGAGTTTTCTTTCAAAATAACCACGTCTAGACACCCTATTTCGAAAAAAGAAACGCTATCTTGAAATAGCGCTCAGACACAGTTATGCAAATGAAGTGTGGGAAATTCAAATCCACACTTCATTTGCAATTTTGCTCAGGTGCATTTGTATTCCTCTCTTGAAAGAGGAATGCAGTGTAGACATACCCTAAGTCTCAGCCTAGCCGTTCTTAGGTTCTTTATAGGTCTTATTGCAATGGAGAGTTTTAAGGGAGGTATGAAGGAGGAAAATAACATGGCAGAATAAAGGGCACTGAGCACATAACACCTTTACTTTCCCATGAGTTCCTTGAAGTGTTCGTTCCCTAGTTCCTACTTTCTTATGCCAGTAAAATCTATGGGCTCAGTACTGCACCTATATGCACATTTTCCTGGAAAGGGGAGCTGACAGCATGTTCAGACTCCTGGACGAGATTGGGGGGGGCAGGCTCCATGCTCCCAGAAGGGGTAGAGTTAAGGCATCCAGCCCAGAGCACACCATGCTTCCCTCCCCACAGCTCTCAGAGTTGCCCGGAGCACGTGCATGGTGCTCAAGTAGCAATTTGTGCCTGGTGCTCTGACCACCTCCAGGTCTTGGCACAACTGTCCCCTTAGCACTCTTCCTGTCAGCGAGACTGCTTTTGGATATCTTCAGTTCAACATGACTGAGCTGATCTCTCAAACTTCATGAATCCTTTGGCTTCCCTCAGTCTGTGACTGTAGACAACCCCATCCTTCGTCTTGTAGTATGGAGTCCTATATGGCTTCTACTTGCCACTTATCCAGATTGTGCCCAAATTTTGCCCTCTCCTGCACAACATCTGTCAATCACAAGAGCCATTGATCTGTGAAATCAAGAAATTCCCACAGGTCTATGGAACATCCAGATTGATGTCCTGGTGAACCCTGGGCACTGAGATTCTGAAGCAGACGGAAACAATTAATTTCATAAATATTAAAGACACCCAGCTTCATGAAGCTAGATTTCTCAATAGCTAGAGCTTTGCACGATACAAAACTCTACTCCAGTGATGCCCCTAATTTTTTTATGTCCATGTGGGGAATGAATTACGTGAACCGATATGGAGGTGGTGTGTGACCTATAACATCCATATTGGTGCACATCACAAAACTCATTCCGCATGTGGATGATGTGTGGCAGGATGGGCCAAGGGGCCAAGTGTGCGGAAGTGGGGACAGAGGGCTGGGGTGTGGGAGGGTGAATGCAATGGCTGGGGGTGTGGGCTCTACAGAGGGGCCAGGGATGCAGTTGGGGATGCAGGAAGTTGTGGGGGATGGAGGGTGTGCTCAAGATGGGGGTGCAGGCTTTAGGATGGGGCTGTTGATGAAGGGTTTCAAGGAGATGCAGGCTGCCCTGGGCAGAGTGTACTACCCCCAACCCTCTGTCATTACAGAAACCCTTGGGTCACGTGGGAAGTGCCTCTTCAGGGCCCCAGCAGGACCTGGCCAAGGAGCCGCTGTCCTGGCATATCAAGGCTAAGTTAAGAGGGGGCTGAAGAAAGGACACCTTTACACCAGCTGCCGCAGGCCTGTACAGGGGCTGGGTTGAAGCTGAGGGAGGGGCACCTCTCCCCCATCCATGGCAAATCGGGGGTAGTTCTGTACTAGGACCAGTGGGCAGAGGCGCCTCTTCTCACCACAGCCCTGAGCCCCTGTGCATGACTTAATAGGCAGATGCGCAGCCACGCAACTTAGAGGGAATTTAGCTCTGTTCCCAAGAACTGTAGCAGCCAAGAACAATGTGGTGCTGCTGCTGCTCCCAGAAGCCTGCACTTGCAGCTGTGCTGCCCCCAGCTGCATCTGCTGTCTGGGGTTGTACAACCCTACTGGGGGCATTACAGCTGCATGGGAGGAGCTGCCAGTGTGGGGCATTAGCTCGTGGGAGCGGTAGCACTAATTTTTATCATTTGGCTGCTACGATTCTCAGGAGTAGAGCCCTGCGGGCTCTGACCATAGCATCCAATATTGAAGAGAAGATAGACAGTGAAAGCTTGTCTCCTCAGGGGCTTTTGTTATCTTTGTTTGATTTATTCAGTGCTTTAGTCTAGGTATTAGATAAATATAAACCATTCCAAAATACAAATACAAAAATTGTTGTGCTAGGAGTTTCAAAGTCAACTTACTCCTCACTCTGCACTACATCAACAACAATAAAGTAACCCAACTTCCCCTATAGTCAGTATTAGGGTTCTGTTTACTAAATGTGTAAAAGAGCTTCACTGAATTTCATGGGGCTTTGCATGATCACAGGAATCTGCCTTTATTAAGCTTATTTCAGGATTGAGGTCTTAAACAAAGAATAAGAAAAAACTCTAAATTTCTGACTTGGCAGAAGATAGATTATGCTTGTAGTATTTATTCCTGGATATAAATCCTTACTACACTATCAGTTAACAAAAATGTGTGCTCATTTTTCTTCCTGTCTTACCAGGTTTAACTGTCTAAAATGTGGCTGCACAGGTGAAGCTAAGGATGCAAACTACAGGTATAGGTTGTCCCTAAAAGTTGCTGACACTAATGAATTGTTTGACATCACCGTGTTTGGAAGCTCTTTAGATCCATTCTTTGGGGTCACAGCAGGAAGTCTTCATAGGTAAAGGATTATTTTAAAATTATTTAACTCTCTCTTCTTCAACCTAACAATCTAGAGAGGGGTGCATGATTGGGAGGAGGGTGCATGAGTGTACATTCATGGCTCAGTATTTTCTTAGAACAGTTTGCCAACTTGATATCTGAGCAGTATTCCTTAGCAAGCAGGTAAAAATTCAGTCTGAGTAAATAGTGATTTATTTGTAAAGGAGAACCCAGGAAATATCCACTTGTTACAAGCATTTGACACCCATTGCCATGATATCTGGGCATTTTAAAAGACTTAAATTCAGACATTAAAGATACAGTTCACACTGCATTTGGAGCTTGGTCCCTTATGTCCCTTTGTCATAAGTGACCATTCCTGGTCTGATAGCAAGTTGCTAAATAGCGTAGCTTTCTCAGACTTACATACTTTTCTGCATCACTTAGGTGAAAAATATTTTTTGTCTGATCATTCCAGATCTCATTAGAAGCATATCTCTCTTGCATTCCTTTGTGTTTTGGACATTGAGGTAGAAAAAATGTCTTCTAACTCTCCACTGAAGTGGTCAAGTTTGCGTTTAGCAAGAAGAGAATTCTAGAGTTGTGGGTTTGCTACTGAGAACTCAACCACCAATTTCACCCTTTGGCCATCAAGTAAAGTCTCTGTCCTGACTAAACATTTTAGAATGGGATTTAACTTCATGAGAATTTTATGCATGACTTCAGTAGAAGCAGAGTTGGACCAAAGTTAATAGTTTCTGAAAACTCATCTTAATAGCTTCGTTAGGTAAAGAATGCATTCCCATCAGTCTGATGTGCATTATCCTTTGCTAACTCTCATTACATACTTACTGTTTATAAAGCAGCTTCAGAAGAGTCATGTGATCTCTCCTTCAGATTTCACACACAAGTTTTGGGACTAGACAAAGCAGCTTGCTTTGTCTTACATTTTTTTAAGGTTAGAAAAATATTCTTGCTTAGCCTAATTTGGCATCTGCCCATTAATAGGCCCTATCATTAGAGTAATATGTGATACCATTTTCTTATCAACTGATATTCTCTTGCTTCAATTCCATGTTTTTCCAGTTCTTTTATCAGCAGTAGATGATATGAATTAAGGAATGCATAGGGAATACACTTGCAGTGCTGCAATGGTACTTATTATACCATATCTCCTACTGGCATAAGTACTCCACCTCCGTGAGTTAATTCAGGCAGTCAAGAGAAAGTAGCTATATTGATGGGAGAAGCCTTCCCATCACCACAGCACTGATTACAACAGGGCTTTGTCGTGTAGACTAGGGATCAGACCTCTGCACACGTGCTTCTATACATCTTTATTTTGTAGCAGAAAAATGTATCATGACTAGTTTCTTTAAAAAATCCACCAGTATAGTGCAAGATGATTTCTATATTTCAAGCTTGGGTCAGGCCAGCCAAAGAGTTTGCAGGGCCCAAGGTGGTTGGCTGCGCCACATGGCTGGGCACCTCCCAGCCATGGCAGAGGCTGGGCACCAGGAAGCGCAGGGCCCTAAAAGCATGGGGCCCAAGACAACCGCCTTGCTCTGAGGCCAGATCTGAGCTTGGTGTTAGCTTGAATTTATGGCCTTATCTGCAGTAGGACAATAGACTGCTTTTACTATACTCATACCTGGAGTGGCACAACTCTCACTCCCCTTAGAGTGCACAAAGTTATTTTATTGTGAAAAGTGTTTAATACCAGTATAGCTATTCCCATACCAGAAGGCGAATAAGTTATTCAGGTATGTCGCCTTTATCCCAGTATAACTCCATCACAGTGTGGTGGTACTGATCTAACTACCAGTAAAAACACACCTCTTACAGAAATGCTTATATTGTTATAAAAATTGTGTTCAGACTGGGCCTAAAATAAAATGTTTTTTTACTCCGTTATTTCCCTACTTGATACTTTTCCCAGTTGTGTGTATTCAAAAGAGAAGCCAGGAAGATCTGGAAGTGACAGTTGATTCTCTGCAGATTACTGCTTTGTCACTGCTAGCTTCCTACTCTGACTTCATCTTTTCATTCCACATGTAGCTCAGCAAGCAAACCCAATATCCCATCTTCAGTATGGCTGCCCTAATCATAACTCTTTACATAGTGTTTAAATTGTAATGTGCTTGTGCTAATACTTGGCATTTAATTTTCTTTATTCAAGGTGTATTCAAGATTTTAACCAAGTATCAGGAGAGCTGGACAGAAATGCATCTCCAAGTGAGTTAATTCAAGCAGTCAAAACCTGTTTCATTGGGAGAAGATTTATATTTGGAGTGAAGGTAACTTTTCTCATTTTATCTGTTAGTTCTAGTTGAATCATGCAAATTTTACTAGTCTTCAGGGTTTTAATGTAACATGTTCCCACATTGACAGTAGTAGAGCATCATGTATGATGTGTTCTGAGGACTGTAATACAAAGCAGAAAAGGCAGTGGGAAAGGACATTAAGACAAGGAATCAAACCTGTGTTCTACTCTCAGTTCTGGTATTAAGTTTCCATGTAACTGAGTAAGGCCCAGATCCACAAAAGGTATTTAGCAGCTTAAACCCCAGATTTAGGCATTTAAGTTCCAAGTTAGGCGGCACTGCCATGCACAAAACCACCATTTGGCTGTTAGCTAGCATTGTGGGTACCTAAGGCCACTTGAACCTTCACCCTGAAAATGTAGGTGCCCCAACACATCTAAACTTCTGCCTTTGGGCATCCAGGTGCGTGTCTCTCAGCTAAGCACCAGTGCAATCCACAACCTGGGAAAATTTAGATAGGAGGCCACTAGTTCACCACTGTGGTGTCTGATCCAGTGGGCAAGCTCCGAGCAAGGCTACCAAACTGGGCCCCATTCAGAGTTTGCAAGGAAGTGCTGAGTTTTGTAACTTAGTCCAGTTCATGGTGTTTAATAAGCTAGCTGCTAGCCACGGGTAATTTTTTGGCCAGTTGAGTGTGGCTAGTTCACTATAGCAGTAGCCACTGGGCTGGCTACAGCTTCAGAACTGGTTAGACACCATGGATCTAGTGTCTAGAGTACTTACCCAGTATGTGGAAGACCCAGGTTCCATTCCCCTCCCTGCCTAATTGCTTGTCCATGGGATATTCTGATCTCTCTCTCAATGAAGCTAGTCCACTTGTATAAATAATTTAAGCATTGGAGCTAGGAGACTGGACTTGAGATTTCTGAATGACCTACCATTGAACTATAGAGTGTAACTTTTCTCTTTCTTCTCAATGATTGTTTGGTTTGCTTTTTTTTTTAAACTTGGTTACTGTTTGAGAAGGTTCCCTGTAAGCTTCGTCCTGCAGCAGTTTTCAGAGCTCTGTTAAGAAGTTCAAAGGTCCCGTGCAGGCAGGGAGATCAGCTGACTTGTGGTGGGCGGGGCATCTCACAGAGCAAGCAGCTAAACTGAGCTAGCTGTGTGCTTGAATTGAGGAACTCCAACAGCCAGTAAAAAGGGAGATTAGACAATTAGTGGCTGGGGGGATAAGGAGGGAGGGAGTAATTAATTAATTGACTGAGTAGAGGGGAGAGGAGTTTAAAGTGTCCCTCTGCAGGAGGAGAGAGAGGCAGAAACTCAGCACTGTCAAGCCTCCTGGGAAGGGGGAGATAAGGGGCTGACTGCATGGGGTAAGTTGGGGAAAGAGAGGGTGGGTGGGTGCTGGCATTTGTGCTATGAGGTGGAGGCAGGGGACAGTTTCTTTGGGATGTCTGACTAGCTGCAGTCCTCTCTGTCTGCCTGGGTTGAGGGGGCAGAGGGGGCAGGCTGCACTGGAAGTTTGTGTGCCAGGATATTTTCATGATTGCGTTTCAAACAAAGTTTGCATAAAGAGTTAATTATTTAAGAAAGAAAAAGATTCTTTTAACAGAATGTTTTTGGGGTGTTGCAAATAACTAAAACTCTGAACTTTATGATTTTTAAAAAAAAATCTGTTACTAATTAATATATGGTATATCGTATTGCATTACGGCCAGATCTTTGCTATTTAGTAGAGTTCTGGCTCTTGCGAGTCAGAAGTTGCAAGTACTAGCTTGAGCTGTTAGAAAGGTTGATACATGTATTCTAAGGGTTAGTGTTAATTTTCTTTTTTATTTAATTTCATATTAAATATCATATGCAGGGCTCTGTGTTAATTATCACTTATTTTAAAATATTTTCTTCCACACATATGGATTGCTTAAAATTATGTGCGTGTGTTTTGTTTGTATTGGTGCACATCTACACACACACTACCTCAATATTGGTGGTGCACATAAGAAATGTCAACTCACCCAAGGATAGAAAATGTTAGGAGGAACACTGCTGCCAGGTAACCAATGCTAAACAACTATAACTGCTACACATCGGTTTCTGCACTCACAAGTTCTTCATGCATGTCTGTGTTAATTAAGGTCTTCATAGATCCAAAGACACTACTCGAAACTGATAGCTCAATGGATACCTCTTAAGTGTTGGCTATATTTTCATTTCAGACTTTCATATTAAACATTTTCTATCTATGTAATCTCAGGTATTATCAATCTAGACCAGGGGTCGGCAATGTTTTCAAACCAAAGAGGCAAACGACATCAAAATTCAGCACAAGTGGTCAACAAGGAACCATATAAGAATGCCCATTTGCATGAATGAAAAAATACAATGTAATGTTATTGAAAATTGATACGATTAATAGTAGCAGAAATTAAACATCTTTTTGCACATTTCTTTGAAGTTTACATCATAACTGGTCAAATTCAACTTGCACACATTCAAGCTGTCTTCTGTCAGTCTTGAGAGCAAAGTACCCTTGATGCGATTCAAATGAGAGAGCCTGCTCACACATATAGGTGGAGCCAAACATTGAAAGTAAGGCCAAGCTGACATTCTGCATGGTGTTATATGTGACAGGAAGTTCTTTCCAAGTTTGCAAAATCAGATGATCCTCACGCTCCAATTTCTTCATGTCAACCCATTTATGCAGTTTTGCCAATTCTGTATGTTGTTGAGCAAGGCATTCTAAATCTGCTGTCCCCTGCCCCTCACCTTCCTCTGCTGTCTTGGCTCCTGCCTTTCTCACTCTCCCCTCAGCCCTCCTGGTACCTGTCCCCCTCCCCATCCTCTCTGACCTCTGCACCTGCCCTTCCTTCTGTACCCACCCCTCTGCTAACCCTCTCCTCCCCCATCCTCTTTAACACCTCTCTCTGCCACTGCCCTGCCTCTTCTGCCCTCTGGTGCCCTCCCCTCCTCATGTCTGCCCTCCTGCTTCACCCCCACAATCCTCCTGGTACCTTCACATTCCCTTACCCCTATACCTTCTTGGTTCCTCTCCCTTCCCTCGCTGATTCTGCCTTCCCAAAACCTACTCCTTTGCCCTCTTCTTCCCTAGTGCCCATCCCCTCATCACCCCCTTCCCTAGTTCTCCTCATGTCCCTCTGCGCCCTCATATGACTTGTTCCATAGCCTGCCTTCCTCATGCCCACCCCTCCTTTCAACTCCTCATCTCCTGGCACCCACTCCCCTCTTCCTTCCTTCCTCTTGCCCCCATTGTCCTTCTTCTCTCCCACTGACACTTTACCATCCCCCCACTCCTTCTGCCCTTTTCCCCTCATTGTCTCCTCTTGATCCCCTGGGATTTCTCTCTCCTCCACCTTGCCCCTTAGTGCCTTCCACTTTCTTCTCCTGCCCTGGCCTCCTCCTCCTCCCCTCAGCATGAGCCCTTTCCTCTCCTCACACCCACCTTCTCCTTAGTTCTCCCCCTACCCCTTCTTCTGCCTTCCTAACACCTGTACCCCTCAACTGCCTCGAGTTTCCTGGTTCTGGGGCTGGGCCACATGGCAGGCAGTTGCCCCGTGTGGTGGGGTTGGAGCCAGGGCAACAATGCTATTTTTAGTACCCTGGCCCCAACCCAGGAGCAGCTGCATCGTGGCTTGGCTCCAATCCCGGCACACGGGGCAGCCACCCACCACGTGGCCCCATCCCAGGAGCAGCTGGGGTCAGGGCTTTGTGGTGGCTGCTGAAGCCAGGACCGTAGTACTAAAAATAGCACCACGGTCCTGGCTCCAGTCTTGGTATGCAGAGCACCTAAGGGGGTGGACAGGCCTTGGTCCACAAACTTATGGCCAGTGGAACAAAAGGCTGAGCTGGAAGCCCGAAACTTGCTGGCAGCCCCTGCTCTCCCTCTGGGTAAGTGGATTCATGGAGCCTGGGGAGATCGATTCCTGCCTCAGAACTGGCTCCGGGTACTGAATTATAGCTCCCTGGCACAGGGTGCTGGAGAGGAGACTGAAAGATGGCAGCTCAGTGGTAGCAGCTTCAACTCTAGCAAGGGTTTGGGGTGGAGGGTGGCTGGAAGAGGAGAATGGGAGGCTGGGAGGGACGGACCAGGGGAAGGGAAGAGAAGGCGGTGCTATGGGGAGGGACAAAGAGATAGGCAGGGATTGGGAGACAGGGGAATGTGGGGAGGAGGGTGGCCCCAGCATGCAGTGCAGGACTGGCCCTTGTGCCTCCCAGGGAAGAAAGAAACCCAGCTCAGCAGCTAGTTGAAGGCCAAACCCAGCTACCAGCATACTACTGCCTCCTTCCTATTTTCAATGGGGCTGCGGACTGAAGCAGCGACTACCCATCTCTGCTCCTCAGGGCAGCACACCCCTGTTCCAGGACCCGGAACAGCTGTTTTTAAAACTGCAGATGGCTGCTGGAGCTACAGCCAGCCATTGTATGGTGGCTTAGGGGGCCAGGATGTACCCCACGCCCAGCCTCCCTGCAGGCCTTGCTGCTAGCCCCTGCCCTTGCCGTAGGTCCCGCCACCGGCCCAAAACAGCTGTTTTTAAAATGCTGGTAGCTGCCAGAGCTACAGACAGCTGCTGTGTAGCAGCTTGGGGCAGGGTGTACCCACCTGCCTGCCATGTGGTCCTGGTCTCCCCCTCCTCACTCTCCCCCCAGAAGCCCAGCAGCATCTCACCTTCTAGGTGTAAGGAAGGTAAGTGCTTCTGTTGAGGAGGTGAGCGGAAGTACAATTCTTTGTGCCCCACCCCTTGGTGCGCAACCAGTCAGAGCCATATTTAGATCTCTTGAGAGCCATAGGTTGCCGACCCTTGATCTAGACTGAAATTCGGATTAAAGCCTGAGAAATACTGGTTAGCTCCCACTCCCACAGATGTGATGGGAGTACTAGGTACATTATATCTATTTCTATTGCAATAGAATAGTTGTGCAACCACATGAAATCTTATCAGTTACATGACTATTTGTACTCCCTGGGGATAGGGGCCTTTGCTCCCTCTGTAGGAGGCAGCAAAGGGGCGAGCAGGCAGGTCCACTGAGCCAGCACATGCGGGGATCCAAAAGCCAGCTCCCTGTGCATATTGACTCCAGCCTGCCCCCCTCACTCACCACACTGCTGCCTCTCTTATGTGGGGCCCAGTGCTCGCGGGGAAGCCAATTTAAAGCCAGCTCCTCACAGGTACCGGCTCCTGCTCCCCTCCCCCGCCTTGCTTCCTGAATATTGGAAGTTGAAAGATCAGTTTTGTGACAACAGGTATTCACTAAGGTTCCAGTTCTCCTGCCTGTATGTATGAGGGTACTCTTTATGCACCTGAACAGTTCTGTGGATGAGAATGAGTCTATTCAAATTATAAAGTTTTTGAGGAGTGTCTAACCGGGTATAGTTGTGTACACCATCCACACATGCTCAGAGATCAAAACACTAGTGTTAAATTCTGCAGTGATTCAAATAGAAAGGGATTCCCCTAGCCTGTAAGTAGCTACATGGGGAACAAATATTGAATAATGAACTCTTTAGTCTATCAAGAAAGATACATTTGGACTGGAAATAGGCATGTATTTTTATCAGAGTAATTAACCATTGGAACAACTTATCAAGGTTCATAGTGGATTCTCCATCACTGCTCCACCCAATATTGGGTGTTTCTCTAAAATGTCTGGTCTAGGAAATTTTTTGAGAAAGTTCTGTAGCTTGTGCTATTCAAGAGGTCAGAATAGAGATGATCATAGTGGTCTCTTCTGGCCTGGGAATCTGCAAACATTCTACAGCAGGTGGCAACCTATGGCTCATGAGAGATCTAAATATGGTTCTTCTGGAGTTCACTCTAGAGTGTGTGCCACAAATGACTGTACTCCAGCCCACTTCCTCAGCAGCAGCACTCACCTTCCTTGCACCTGGAAGGTAAACCGCTGCTGCTGGTGGGCTTGTGGAATAGTGGGGGAGACCAGACCTGAAGCCCGCTGCAGTGCTGCTGCTCCAGGGCTGGGTGAGTGTGTACACTGGGCATGTGGCCCGTGGCTACTGGAGCTAAAGCCAGCTGTGGTGCGGCTTCTCTGGGACTGGGGTGTACCCTAGGCATGTGGTGGGCAACTGCTGGAGCCCGACTGTGGTGCGGCTGCTTTGAGACTAGGGCTGGGATGTATCCCAGGTGCATGGCGGGTGGCTGCTGGAGCTGAGGCTGGCTGCTGTGTGGCAGTTTCTGGGGCTGGGGTACACCTCAAACCCCAGAGCAGCTGAACTGCAGTTTGGTCTCCAGCTCTGGCAGCTGTCACTGGGCTGGGTGGCTGCCTGACTGCTCTTCTGGTGGGCTATGTGGTCGGCATGTGCCAGAGTTGAAGCTGACTGCCGTGTGGCGGCTTGAGGGGCCAGAGCTGGGAGGCTTCAGCTCTGGCAACCACCCACCACATGTCTGGGGGGTACATCCTGGCCTCAGAACCACTATGGGGCTGGTGGCTGCCCAGCAGCTCCTGGAGTGGACCACGTGGCGGGCAGCTGCAGTTTATTAGGATAAATTTCCATCTAACTTTTTTTTCTAACTGATAAACTCAAAAAGCAGTAAAGTAACTGGAAGACATACCAAGCAACACACATTTCCCCTCCCTGCTTGCTATCCTGAACATCTGGCTCTGTACTGGCTATATGGTGGCCAGGATTACTTCACTTTTACTATTGACCTGAGCAGTATGAAGGTAAGGACAGGCCTCTTTCCCCTGCCCTAAGTTTTTAAAAAGAAAGGAGAAAAAAGATTCAAGATTACCTTCAGGTCTCTCAAGTAAAAATATCTTGCAAATCTATTGAGTCCACAGTTAAGTACATAATCAGAAAACAACTTTTCCACACCTAATAAACTTTGTGGACAAAATGTTCAAGGCAACCTCAAAAACAAAAGAAAGATTAGATACTACATACCTTCAAAATCCCAATTCATTTCTCATCTAATTTTGAAGGTGCCTGAAGTTCAAACTTTGGCAGATAAATTTCTCAAGTACCCAAGTTTGTGGACCTGAATCCCTCTCTTCCCCCACCACACACACACTCCAGTCGTTTTCCTTGAGGCCCCCACACTTAAATTTCATACAGGCATTGTTATATTCTACAACCTCCCTCCTTACCCCGCTATAAGACCACAAGAGGTTGGGCAGGTTGTGAAAGGACAGTATCTGTGAGAAATTTAAGTTACTTTCACTCTTGCCTTTAATACTGTTCATTTTAATAGCCAGCCATTCTTTCCACTCATTCAGGGTCATGCATATTCAAGACGGATATTAGGACAAGAAGCAATGGGCTTAAATTGCAGCAAGGGGAGTTCAGGTCCACAAACTTGGGTACTTGAGAAATTTATCTGCCAAAGTTTGAACTTCAGGCACCTTCAAGATTAGATGAGAAATGAATTAGGAAAACTTTCTAACTGTCAGGGTGGTTAAACACTGGAATAAATTGCCTAGGGAAGTTGTAGAATCTCCATCACTGGAGATATTTAAGAGTAGGTTGTATAGACATCTGTCAGGGATGATCTAGATGGTGCTTAGTTCTGTTGTGAGGGCAGGGAATTGGACTTAATGACCCCTTGAGGTCCTGTCCCATTCTAATGTTCTGTGATTCTATTATTTTTATTTGATTGGTTGAAAAAATCTTTCATGATGGTGTACTGTTCTGTGATCCCTAACAGTAAAAATGGCGAAGAGAAAGAGCAGAGATGATGAGTACCGAAATTTTCAAAAGGAGTGGACAGACTTATATGCATTTGTGGATAGGTATGGATCTCCACACTGTCTCATTTGTAGTGAAACACTGTCCTCAAACAAAAAATGGAATTTAGAGCGGCATTTCATGAAAAAACATGCAGCATTTGCTACTAATTACCCTGAGGGTGATGCGCGAAAAAAAGCTTGCAAGGAGCTGCAGCAACAAATGAATGTTGGACAAAATAGCCTCCTCACATGCTCAAAAAAAGGTGAAAGCTTAAACTCGGCAAGTTTTGCAGGCTCGTACAGCATTATTCGAGAGGGGAAGCCTTTCACTGACGGGGATTATGTGAAGAGATGCATGCTAAAAATTGGTCATGAGCTATTTGACGAGTTTCACAACAAGGACAAAATATTACAGAAAATTCAAGATATGCCATTATCGGCAAAAACCATTCATGAGACAGCTGTGAAAATGGCCCATCAAATTGAGAAGGTACAAATGCAAAAGCTGAGCACAGCTGCTTATTTTTCGTTTGCTTTGGATGAGACAACCGACATATGTGACATTAATCAGTTGTGTATTCTGGGACGATATATTTGTGGGCATGCTGTGCACGAAGAAATGATTGCAATATTACCAATGAAAAATCAAACAAGGGGCGAAGACATCCTTAAAACCGTGATGGACTTTGTAAACGAGAAAGAAATACCATTGGATAATCTTGTGTCTGTGTGTACAGACAGTGCACCTAACATGGTCAGCAAATACAGGGGATTCCTTACTCTTTTGTCAGAACAGCTGAACCACTTGCTTTTGAACTTTCATTGCATTGTGCATTAGGAGTCACTTTGTGCACAATCTTGTGGAATCGAACTCGGAAGTGTAAAACTGGTCGTTTGTATTGTCAATTGGATTCTTTCCCGAGCCCTTAATCAGCATCAATTTCAGTCACTGCTAGAGGAAGTAGATTCTGAATACCCTGATCTAATAATGCATAGTAATGTTCGCTGGTTATCCCGTGGCAAAGTTTTGTCTTGTTTTGCCACCTGCATTAATGAGATTAAATCATTTTTGGATATGAAGGGTGTCAAACACCCTTAGCTTTCAGACTGTGACTGGTTGCTCAAGTTTTACTATCTCGTCGACATTACAGGTCATTTGAATGAGTTGAACCTTACGCTACAAGGGCAAGGAAATACAGTCCTAACTCTGCAGCAGGCAGTGTTTAGATTTGAGTCAAAATTGACTGTCTTCATCAAAGATATTGAGACGGGCAGACTGGCACATTTCGAAAAATTGCGAATGTTTTGTGATTCGTATCAGAGAGAGAATCCCAATAACAGCCTTGATTTGCAGCAGCTCGCTGGGTTTGTTTCTGAACTCCTAATGGTATTCAAGTCTCGTTTTGTTGAGTTTCATAAACACGGTGTTCTATTTACATTTATGATTCGTCCACATAAAACATTCATTGAAGAACTGGATTTGACAGTCATTCCAGGTATCTCGGTCAGCAATTTGGAAATGGAAATGGCAGATTTCAAGGAGTCAGATATCTGGGTGGAAAAATTTGTCAAGCTGAATTCTGATTTAGAATGCCTTGCTCAACAACGTGCAGAATTAGCAAAACTGCACAAATGGGCTGACATGAAGAAATTGGAGCGTGATGATCATCTGATTCTGCAAACTTGGAAAGAACTTCCTGTCACATATAACACCATGCAGAATGTCAGCTTGGCCTTACTTTCAATGTTTGGCTCCACCTATATGTGTGAGCAGGCTTTCTCTCATTTGAATCACATCAAAGGTACTTTGCATTCAAGATTGACCGAAGACAGCCTGAATGCATGCATGAAGTTGAATTTGACCAGTTATGATGTAAACTTCAAAGAAATGTGTGAAAAGATGCAGCAGCCAAAGTCCCACTAAATAAAGTGTGTGAGTACAAGGTTTAATTTATGCTATTAATCATCATGTCAGTTATTAATAATATTAAGATGTATATTTTTAGTGATGCAAATGGCATTTTTATGCGGCTTCTTGTTGACCGCTTGTTCTGAATTTTGATGTAGTATAGCTCTTTGATTTGAAAAGGTTGCTGACCCCTGTTCAACAGTCTGTACTTTCCAGCCATACATACATAACATACACTACTGTCTTGTAAACGATATCTAATGCTACAACTGAGAGGGAGGAAACACCACAAACAGAGTTGCAGTCTGGGGGGGTTTTGAGGCAAATTATTTGTATTTTTGTCCTGTGAACTTGCAGGTAGCTATAATTTGGGTAGCTGCTCAGCGGTGGCATTGCATATGGGATTTTTAAGCACTACGTGAGCTTAAATTTTAAGCATTCCATGAACTGACGCTTTCTTTTTCCAAGAATGCCTCTCAATTTGCATCTGCAGTTTCCATTCCGTCACTGATACACAGCGGTGCAAATAGAATACCAGATGAGGCCTCTCAAAAAATATTGACCATACAGGTCCAGCACTGTTTAGACCTAACCAACGGGATCCAGGTAATCTTCTTCTCCCCTTCTGGCTGCCACCTCTCCCTCAGGTATCAAGAAACCCCACTTCAAAACTTGCTTGGTACCTCATAGTTCAAAATAAGGTATCTGCTGACTAGTGACTAACTAGTACAGTAAAACTCCAGTGGTCTGGCACTCCTGATGGTCTGGCACCATCTGGAACCCGGAAGTGCTGGACAACTGGAGCTGCTCTGCCCCTGGCTTCCCCAGTTCAGCTGCTGCCGAGAGGTGCTTC